TTTTTATGATTCTTGAAAAAGTTAGCAAATTTTTTGTAATTCTTAAAGAAAATTTTGCAAATTTTTATGAGTTTGCAAAAAAATTGTACTTTTTAAATCTTAAAAAAAATTTGTAAATTTGTAATTTGATAAAAATTTATGATTTTTTAGATTTTTTAAGAGTTTTACAATTTTTGAATCTTAAAAAAAATTTAAAATTCTTAAAAATTTAGTATTTAAATTATGAATTTTCTTTAAAATTCATATATAATCAACTTAAATTTTTAAACTAATCTAAATTAATTTGAACTGAAATTTTTTTAGATTAATCTAAATTATTCAAAGTTTTAATTATGCTTTATAATAATGCTTATAAAAATTAATTATTCTTTATCTTAAATTGATTTAATTGAATTTTATATTTATTAAATAGTATTATATATCTAATTTTATCAAATTTATTTTAAATTATTATTTGGATATACTATATTCTTTTAAAATAATATTTTATGATATATACTGTATATATATTATTAATATAAATATAATGAATATTTAAATAAAATTAATATGACAAATAAATAAATTACTATAAATATAATATATTATAAATATTTATTTTCAGAAATATATAGTTTATATTTATATTATTATATAAGTCAATTGCAAAATCTACTGACTAAAAAATAAATTTTAATATATATAGCAACGTTTAAGTTTTTAAAGATTAATAACTTAATATAATAATTCTAAAATCTTATTTACATCAATAGAATTATCAATATAAATTAATATAATCAATGTATTATTAATGTGCAATCTTGTCAAATTGTGATTATTAGATGGGATATTTGAGTGGTAATTTTTTTAAGTTTACATAGTAATCTAATAGTTATTTCTATAAGTTAATGGTTCTTTTATATACTATTTAGAGTATATTCATACCTCAGTTGATTAAGTTCTATTATATATTAGAAAATATATTCAAACCTATAATGAATATATGATTTATATACTATATACTGCTAAGTATTCAATATACTATTGAGTATATTTTTATAAAAATAAACGTAAATTACATTACTAATATAAAGTGTCACAAAATATCTCAAGTAAATTGAATAAAGATTTATTGGTAAATAAATAAACTAAAAGCTAAAAATACTAAAATAAGGAAATATAAAAGAAAAATTAATCACAAATAGAAGAAGTAGTCTTATGCTATTTTACAAAAAAAAGGGTTACATATAGTTATTACTGAACTAATCAGATTGCATCCAACAATTGATAGTTACTTTCTTATTAAAAATTTAGTTCTTTTTATATACTTTCTAATATAAATTTAATATATCATATATATTAGGTATGTCTGATATCAAATATATCAAATATGTCAAATATATAAGATATGTTAAATATAATTAAAATATATCAAATATGTTTGACATGTTTGATATTTTGATCTGCACTTTCTTATATTACATAAATTAAATACATTTATTAAGTTGATCATATTAACTGTATTACTTATAATGCATTATATAGATCAATTATATTATGATAGTCCTGTTACAGTATATAAGAGAGAGTAGGCTTGTTCAATTTTGATCATTTAACTTTTTAATTGAAAATCTATTAACTAATTCTAATATGTAATTAAAATTAAAAATTAAATATATTGATCAACTTATTGATCAGGTTACTTTGATCATTTTTTTTCATATAATAAATTATTTTTTTTTTTTACAAAATATAAAAGAATATTTTATTATTGTTAAAGTTAAAATAAAAAATATTTTATTGTAATTAAAATAAAGCTTGAGAAACTTCTTGCTGAAAGTTAAGCAAAATTAAATGTAAACTTAAATATATAATGTTATTATTATTACTTTTTGAGGTTTAGAACTATAAAAACTAAAAGAATTAACATGTTTAATTGAAATTTTCTCATTAAATTGTATATTTCTTAAATTTTTATATTATATTAAAAATTTATTAGACACCAAACATGATTAAATATTATATAAAAATAATAATATTTTATTATTTTTTATTTTTATAATATAAAATATTATATTTATTTATAAATATATTCTTTATATATGTATACTATTATTTATTTTTAAAGAAAATATATGCATAAAGAGTTGTCTATATAATTTTTAAAAATATATGAATATACATATATAAAAATAATAATTAATTTAAAATTTTAAAGTAATTTGAATTACAATTTTTGAATTATAAATTATTATATTAAATAAAATATTATAATAAATTATAATTAGTTACAATTTGAATTATAATTTAAATTATAACTTTTCAATTATATTATTATTTTTTAATTAATAAATTTATAATAACATAAAAAATATATATATAATTATTCTTTATATTATTATATATATTAATTAATAATTTTTTATTTTAACACTAAAAATAAATTAAATGATTAGAAATAACAAATGATACAAATGATTAATTATTTCAATATAGTTTATTTTTTTTTTAATTTTATTATTTATTTTATTTAATATCCCTTTGATTGTTTTATCTACAAATATATAGACAATTTTATTTATAAATTAAAATCATTCTTAATTATTTTTAAATATTTTAAAATATGTTATTAAAAATTAATACTTTTATAATAAATTTTATGATGTTTTTAAGTAAAATTAAAAAAAAATGTAATTAATTAGTGATTTTTTAAAGATAGATAAATAATAAATTATTATTAAAAAAAATTAAAATTTTAAATTGATATGTCTTGCTATTTACTAATCTTAAAAATATAAAAATACTATCATTTAATAGGTTTTAATGAGATGAATTCAATAAACTAAATTTTATTTTTAAATAATTATTACATAATATGTTATTTTTAAAAAATTGAAAAATTGAAAAATTGATATATTATTAATTATTAATTTTAAAAATTTACAATATTATTATTAAATGTATTTTAATATGACAAATCATAAATTTATTTCATCTTTTTATAATTATTAGATGTCAAAATATTTTAAGTTTTCCATAAACAATTTTATATTAACAATTTAAGGGATAAAGTAAGTAATTTAAATCTTTTAATATAAAAATTTTATAAGTAGCAATATTTTTTATAATTTAAGCAACCCGAAAATAGAAGCAAATATTGGTATATTTTTGGTAAAGCCGAAAGAGAAACCTAAAAAAAGAACAAATAAAATTATTCAATTACCATAACCTGAAGTAATAATCTGAACAAAATTAAAAAAAGGGCTATAATTAAAACAAAAAAATTAAAAAGTTTTTAAAATGTTGCAGAAAATAAAAATAAATAAAACCTTACCTTATATTTTGCAGAAGGGATCCAACCCGAAAGACTAACTAAAGAACGCAAAGTTCAAAAAAAAATAAGCATCCTCTGAAGTGAAAAAGCCTACCTCTTCAATTGTTTATAATTGATCTAATCAGATTTAGTTTAAAAGATATTTGTATAAAATAATTTAAATTATCGTTAAATGAAACGCCAAAGGATTTAGGATAATGTAAAGGATCAGACAAATGGTCAAATAACCAGGTCATTATTGAGCATTGAGATATATAATATAACTATGTTGATACTTGACTGTATCGATTTTACTGCATCATAAAATTCGTCATAGCTGCTTACAGTCAATTATCATATCCGCACATCCTTTGTAGTGTCATCTGGTAGTATTCGACATTCTTCAGTGCATTAACATTTACTTCTTAAAAAAAAAGATTTCTGCTGACTCGCTAGTTACGCAACGATTTTTATACAACAATACTTCACTAACAATTCGGCAAGTATTTATTAATCATTTTTCAGATATAGTAGGAGTAATGGCTATTTCATTAAGTGAATAATGGAAGGATAGAAAAAAGGCGGATGCTAGGCCATATAATGCGAATTTCCTGAGTCATATTATTCCTACGTTTCCGGAAAATTATAAAGCTAACCTATCTATCATTTTATTGCTAACTACGAGAATTTATCATTTTCTGATAACAAAGTGATTGAAAGGAAATTTTATTGATAATTTTGTAAAGGTAATTTGGAATTCAAAATCTTTCGTGAGATCTGAGCACATACAATATCTCGGAAGTTTCCTATCTATACAGGGGAGGTACATCTAATGAAGGTATTTCTGGTAAGTCTTAATATTTTATTTTAATTAGGTCAGATGGAAAAGAATCAAAAGAATACCAGATCGGAAATGGTCCTTCTTCAAAATATTTTAGACAACAGTGGAAATAAGGTTTTTTTTTTTTTTTTTGTCACAAGAATTTTTCCGAAATATTCCGATTTTTCTTTGTAAAAATAAAAAAGGGCAGGAATTTTGGTTGTGGATCAAAATCATGTGAAATTCGCGTAATGCGGATTTTTTTAGGTATTTGTGATCACCGATAATTGTCGTAATTATGAATTACAGTCATAATCAAGTTTTTTAAAATAACATGCTAAATGTAAATAAATCTTTTTGGGGAGTATATACTGAACTGAAGATAATGATTTTTTGCATGTACACGTCATTTTTAGATATTAATTCAAGAATTCAACCAAAATAATTTTTAATTCCTAAATTTTATTTTTGGTAATTAAAAGGTAATCTAATATACCGACCAGCGTATAAAATCATAAAGTAAAAAAAAAAAAAAAGAAAAAAATTTTTTTTTTCTTTTTTATTTTTTTAAAATAATCACGCTTTCTTAAATAAAAAAAAGGTTACCATTATAAAAAGGAAAAAACTAAAATTATTATTCTGACAAAGGGAAATTATTGATAATAAAAAAAAAATAAAAATATAAATAAAATAAAAAACTAAATAATAAAAGATAAAATATGTTGCCTATATAGGGCTACACAATATAGAACGTTCTTTATTTGTTGATACTAAAAAAGAAAATGAATGTAGTTAAAAATGCAAAAAGTGGAAAATGATATTTAATATATTATATATAATTTTTTTTTTTTTTTTTCATGTATTAAAAATTTCCTTCTTTAATGTAATTTATTGAGCAGAGATGGGTGAATTAGAGGCTGAAACATCTGAATGTGAATGAGAAGGAACGGGGTTGTAGTTTCGGTCGTTCTTCTTCTCATCAGCGATCTTTCTTGCCATAACTTGAACGTCGGCAACCTTTTGTTGTGTAGTGTAAAAATATTCGTAAATCATTCTTCCGGTGGGTGTTCCAAGAAAGTGGTGTGCCTTATCTTGGGCTTGGTTAATTACATATTTAGCACCTTCATAAACCGCAAATTTATTGCCAAGGTCAGTTGCACGAGAAGTCACGGTATGTGATAAACAATATTTTTCATCAATAGTTTTGACTATAAATGAGAAGGAAAAAAAAAAAAAAATTAAGCCAAATTCAAAAAAAAAGATTTATAGCAATCGTAGAAAAACAACCAAATAATACCAAAATCTAAATTTAACGTACGATTGGCTTGAAGTTGAGCCAAGTACTGTTTAATACAATTGCTGACACCATATTTAAGATCAAATTCAATGCCCCGCTCAATGATAGCGTCTTGTAATATATATCCGGCAGCTAAAATTTCTGCGAAGATAATAGCTTTTGGTTTTTCTTCCTGTCCTTGTGTGCATGACGAATCATCTATATCATCGCCAAACGAGGCATCATCAGCAGATTTTACCGTAATTTGACTATCGCAAATGACTGCATTTGTGAGCATGAGCGCTGTTTTAGCAGCGGTGTCTTTTTCGAACGTGATATAAGCGATTTGTTTATCGCTGCTTTCTTCCCTATAAAGGGACAAAGGAAACAATTAAGATTAATATAAATTGGGAGACAAATTATAATCAGAATACGTTAAAAGTGTCAACAAACTTTATAAGCTCAAATTCTTTGATTTTACCGCAAAATAGAAAGAAGTCTTTGACTACAATTGCAAAGAAAAATTTGAAGGTTAAACTAATTTCGAAAATATTTGTTCTCACCCAAACCAAGAGATTTTTACATACCAGTTTTTTCTGAAGCTTTTTCAGAGATGTCAGTTACAATAACTTTCTTCGACATTTTTGATATATTTGTAGTTGAAGAAAAATTTGATTTTTTTTTAAAAACGGAAATTATTTATTTAGGAAAAAATAACAAAAAAGTAGTTGAGGGCAGAAGAGAAAAAGAATACCATTTATATACTTTAGAAAATTCTCATGATTAAAAAAAAACGCCTCAAACTTTGTGGTGAGGAAAAATCAAGGATGACTAAATTATCAATATCAAACATGAGACAACTGACGTACATGATTGTTTAAAATGAAATATATATGCTATATATATATTTATATATATAATTATATGAACAAAAATGCTTAACAAGAACGCAATTAAAATGAAATCTCGTGAAAATAGTGTGAAAATGAAATGAAAAAATCATATAATATATAATAACATATATAAAGTATAATATAAAAAAAATTTTAGTTTAGTTTATTATATATGTGGGGAAATCAAGTTAGCGATCAATTGTAAAATAAACTTTTTTAATTATTAACATTTGACATCAAAATATTGTGCATTCCTATATACATCATTGAAAAAATCTCATGCAATCAACCTTGCATTCATGGGTGTTATTTCTTTTTTACTGTAATATTTCCCCCAAGTCAAAATGGCAAAGTTACTTTTATTTGTTTTCAAATAAAAATTTATTAAAATTTATTTAATTTAAATACATTAAATTACTACTACTTTTATACAGGTACATTTTGATTTTTTCAAGTAGGTCAAATTAAACATTAGCCACAGTGGCTTTGGGATTTAAATATTTTTACACATGCTTCTATTACATTTAACACATCTAGCATATGAAAAAATCCTTTTGTTTCAGAGGAGATCGTCGTAACCTGCATAATAAATTGCTCTTATACATAAAGGAATTATCGAGAAGCAATTATTTGACTTTTGCACCCGCGTGTACTTGTTACATAAATGCATGGTATTCTCGTGAGAAGCACATTTTTTTTTTTTTTTTTACTAATTTTACGGAAAGAATGCATCAACGCGAGGAGAATCTTATTTATTCTTTGTAATACATTGACTAATGTCAAATTTTAAGGGTCCTAGATAATTTAACTAATTTATTAAGTTTGTCGTACCTTTCAAATGAATTTCTCGTGAAATGTTTAGGAACCTTAATTAATAAACAAATTCGGAAACAAATAGATAAACATATCGTGATTTTCGTCTTATTGAGAAAACAATCAATACTTTTGGCGTAGAAATTAATTCTTTTTTTCTTTATTAATATGATAGGATTGTCAAAAGTGTTTACACGTAGTTTATGAAGGGTTTAGCAAATGATGTTACATGAAGGAAGCTTACTATGTAATCGTGAGCGGGAAGTTCGTTGTTGATGAAACACAGGGTTTTTTTAAAGTGTAAAGGATTGTTCCTTGTGATGATGGTGATTTTAAATGATTTAGGAAATGTGATTATTTTATTATGGATTTTCGATCTTGCATATATGCATTTATTGATGAAGATTAATATTATTATTTTTTTATTTGCGTTAGTTAAACAATTAACTGCTTTTGATGTGGTAAATCGGCCCTTCATTTCATAAGTTTGTTGGTAAATGAATGTCAATACTATTCCATGTGGTCGCTACTACCCTATATGCTATAAATTGATCAAATTATTCCGTACCTTCGGTTAATGGCTGTAAATCATTTTCCATCGAATGTCTGTCTCATGTTCTCACATCATTTTCTTTCTGTGTGTGAGCCGAATGCAGTAACAACAAAAACATCAAGATGTGAATGTTGTAAAGGTCATAAACGAATACTATAAATCCGAACGGTCTTATATAATATTTGTAATCAAAAATTGTGAAATAAACTCTATCTCATCACTGATTCATAAGATTTTATTTTTATTTTCTAGATTCAAGTTTCTTTGTTTTAAAGATTAACAAGTCTGAAAATCATTGAAAACTGATTAAATATTTGAATAACAAACATTTAATTTTTAAAATGCAAAAGATTTTGTATTTATAAGTAGGTAATAAATAAATAATTTATATGAAAAAAGCAAATACAGAAAAATATATATACAATATATAATTTTTATTTTTTATCATTAAAAAGAAAATAATATATTTTATATACATGTTTCTACTTATATACTTACTTATAACTAGACTTTTATTTGCTTAGAATTTCAATAAAATATTTATTATGTTTATTTTTTTGATATTTTAAATTAAAAGTAAACTTGTTATACTAATTTGCTTTTGAATTAGTCACTTTACTTTATGGAAATTTAATAATGTTAAATTGACATTAAATCAAAATTATATCAATATTACTACTATCATTTAACAATAATTGAATTGAAGTTATTAAGTTCATTTTACTGTATCAATTCAATTTTAATTTAACCTTGACTTTATATTGATTTGTATTACTAATAAAATACAGATATAATAATAATATGGCATTAATTTAATATTAATATATACAGATATAACATTAAAATTACATTATTTTATAATATTAATATAATATCAAAAATAATAATATCAATATAATATTAATATGATACAGATATGATATTAAAATTATATTAATTTATAATAAGATATTAAAATAATACTAATATATAATATTAATATGATATTGATATGATATAAATATAATATTGAAATTATATCAATTTTCAATATTAATATGATATTAAAATAATATTTAAATATGTCCTAAATTAAGAATTTATCCTAAATGTAAATTTCAATTTCAGATAATCTAACTTAAAATTTTAAATTTAAATAATGTAATTTTACTATTTTAATTTAAAATTAAAACAAATTGAAAATTAAGATATATAATATCTCAAATTAACTAATATTTTAATTTAAAATTAAAATAAATTGAAAATTGAAACACAGTATTCAAGTTGATAATTTACAATTAAAACAAATTAAAAATTAAAATATGAGATATTTTAAGTTAATTATTACTTTAATTTAAAATTAGGTAAATTGAAAACTAATAAATTTAAACCACTTATTTGTGATATTATTATTTCATTTTCTATTTCTATATTTTTACTTACTATAGTTGATTTAAAACTAGTTTTCCGATCAGTATTTTTAGAATCATTATCTGTATTATCTAAATTAGAAATAAATAATTCTTTGCTTTATTTATATTTGTAATATTAGTAAATACATTAATAAAATCATCTTTATTTTCAAGTATATTAATCAAAAAATTAGTAATATTATTATTTTTTTTTACTAGTACTTAGTAAATTCAAATATATTTTTACCATAGTTAAAAATAAAAAGTAAATAATAAAAATAATTCACTAACTTCAATTTAAGATCCTTTTTAAATAATTAATACTGATAGAATAATAGATTAGGTTATTTTCTTTCAATTTATTAGCTTTAATTTTAAATTGCATAAGTTTTAATAAAATTATTAAAAATTTAAATTATGTAAAAATATATAATTTATTAATAAAAGTCAAAAATTCAGAAAAATCAAAATAATAAGTTTTACATAAGATGTAATTTGATTTTCATCAGTAAATAATAAATTATAAAATTTATTTTCTCATAGTTTATCTTGATTTGATCAAGAATATAACTAATTAAGTCTATATAAATTTATGATAAATTAATAATATAATTTGATCTTTATGAAAAATAATAAATTGCAATTTATTTTTTCACAATTTATTAATCAATAATATCATAAGTTAAGAAATAACAAAGATTTATAAATAAAGATTTTAAAATCAAATGATAAATTTGAATCTAAAAAAAAGAATAAACAGCTTCTATTATAAGATAAATTAATAAATAATGAGAAAACTAATTATAATATTTTTGAAGAATTTAATAATGCAAACAAATGAAGATAGTGAATAAAAAAATGAAATTAATTTTGAAAAAGAAAAGAATATCTAATTAAAACTTTTAAAAATAGGATTAGATAAATTAAATAATTATTTTAAAATATTATTTTTTATTATTTATCTATATATAATTTAGAATAAAATGTGAATAATGAATTTGAGAAAAAAACTGAAATTTGTATAAAACTAATAAGATATTAAGATTAATATATTATGATAAGTAGGGACCAAGTGACTTATTTACTAAATCAGCAAATGATATATCAAAAATTACAAAATTTTCCTATTCAATTTAATATTGATAATACAATTACAAGTTTAGATCATAATATTTAACTTGTGAATAAACAAAGCAGATCAGAAAAAAAATCTTATATAAAATAAATAAAATTAATATAAGATAAAGGTTTTGAAAAAAGAATTAGAAGGTTATTATAATAAAATAAAAGTTAATGAATATAATAAGAAAAGAATAATTTTTGAATATCTAAAATTATTGGATAAAAATAGCTCTGAAAAAGTAAAGTAAGTTTAAATATTATATAAATAGTTTTTGTTGATAGTGGTATTTGAAAAGTTCAACAAATATAATATTAGGCTAATTATTGGTTTTATTTTAATGCATTTTTTGTATTATTTCAAGAAAAATATCAAAAAATTATTGATTAATTGATGATAAGAATGTTACTTAAAAATGCTATATTTGAATTCACAATTAAAATTATAAAATTATATCTATAAAATTTAAAAAGTTTATAAAATAAAACTTATTAATTCAATTAGGAATAAATAAAAATAATCCATTAATATTTCAATAGTAATTTGTTAGCTTTATATTTTTAGATATACAAAGCAAAAATAAAATAAAGTATATATTATGATAAATATAAATGCAATAATATAATTCAATATAGAAATAAATTCTTAAAAAGATTTTTAAATATGAAAAACTTATATTACATTATAAAGATGAAAATATGGATCAAATCTTATCTAATTTAGTAAAAAATAAAAAAAAATATATTTTAGTAATATATAATAAATGTGTTTTTTATTTTAATAATATGCAATATAATATTTAGGCTAAGAAATAAATTATCTTTACGAAAAAGGTAATAGTAAATCAATTATAATTAGTAAGTTTTTAATAG